GGAACCAAAGCAGGACCAAAGCCCTGGAGGGCAAACATTAAATCGTGTAGTTCCATGTCCAGGACCTGAGCCAGGATGCAGTGAGATTAAACTTCAAAGGATTGGGCTGGGGAGATAGCTCAGCAGTACAGGTGCCTACCTGGCAAGCGCATGGTTCTGAGTTTGATCCCCAGTACCCCCCACCAAAAAAAATCAAAGGGCTTTGACAGCTTCACCCTGTGACCTTGCTAGTTCCGACCCACCTAGCCTCTCGCTTGGGCTGTCTCCTCTTGCTGCCTGGAACTTTCTCTGGCCGATGTTCTGCATCCCTGGCCTCTCTGTTCCGGGGTCTCCACAGGCCTCTCAGCTTTGCTCTCACAGCTGCATTCCCTGCCCTCTCAGAGGGACACACTGGCTGGGCTGCCGGGGCTGCTTCGGAAGTCATAATGCCTAACTCCATACCCAAATGAACTCTGCACATTTGAAAAACCAGCACCATGTAGATGACACCAAGATCTGCTGTCAAGGATACCAGCAGCTGTGACCCTCTGGCTGTGGCTGCAGTGGCCTCTGAATACCTGAGTGGCTGGGCCTGGTAGTGGTGAAATGAATGCCAAATCTCTTCTCAAGTGAAAGGCTTATCTTTTTGCATCTGTAAGCCTGTGATGGATGTGGTCTTCCTGATTCTTAGGTGCCTTCAAGCCATTTTTCCTATTATCTTGGTGGAAAGTACTCGGCTTCTTTTTGATGCTAATTTTTTCAGTAGCCATGGTGTCAGTCCTCTGCCCCAAATATGCAGGCATGTGCTTTTTTTCTGGGCAGTCTTTGTATCATTTGGGTCTACATTTTGCTCCTGACTCTCGCTGTAGAGCTAGCTAAATCTAGCCATCAGTACCCATGCCACAACCTGAACACTGAGCTGTCTCGAAATTTTCTGCACCAGATTAGTCTTTTGCCTTTAAGTTTAGTCTACACAAAGCCTTAAGACATGGGTAAATTGTAGACAGACTTTCTGCCAGAATTGTAACACAAACTGCATCTAATCCAAATTTTAATGAAATCCTTATTCTCAACTAAAACTTTATGAGCCTGGCTTTTACTGTGCATATTCCTATCAGTATTCTGATTTTCTAACCTCTGACTAGAATCTCCCCTCAATCTCTGCTTACTTTGCCTATAGCATTGTCAGTCTTATTTAACCACTGTCTCCAGATTCCTCTCACAAACCATTTTTAAAGGCGTCTGGCCCATGTGCTCAGGGGCAGCCGCAGGGACAACCCACTCCTGGTACCACTTTTCTGTAAGAGTCACTTTCTTAACACTGGGGCAAAGCACTTAACACCAACAGTTTAAAGGAGGAGAGGTCTGTTGGTTCGCAGCGATGCTGGGCTCAGCACATGCTGTAGTCTCTGAGGCAGAAGGAACATGGCAACAGTTCATGAGGGTGGAGAACGGGTCTTACCATGGAAGCCCAGAAACAGAGCACAGAAGAGGAGTTGGGGACAAGAATCCACCCATCCAATCAAGACTTGAGTGACCCATACCACCCGCCAAAGGTCCCTCCTGTCGGCATGACTCAGTCACCTTCCAAACATGTGAGACTTTAGGAAACATTTTCAGTTTAAGCATAGCACTGTCCTTGGTCAGAATGCTTTGCCTTATTTTTAATTCTGTCTTTGCAAACTCTTGCACAAAAGAAGGAGGAGAACAGCACCGTTTCTATATTTCTATATTGCCGAGTAGTGACAGAATAAAATTTAAACTGAAATTAGTCCGGTTTCTGTGTTCAGATCTAAAAGTTTGTCCTGATCCTGAGAGGAGACTTTGGACCTGATACTTTTCAGCAATGTTGGAGCTGTTAAGACTTTTGTGACTCTTGTGGCAAAACAAGTCATGGGATTAGTGCAGAAGTAATCTTAATTATGCATTAATGTGCATTATTACTTTGGCTTACTGTCTCTCCCCTTATTATCTTACAGGGTGCTAAACTAGAGCATGCGAATCAGATGCTAAATCTCACCGAAGAAGAAAGTAAGTTGGTAGAAAATACATTCGATATTTATAATTCATATGAGACACTCTTGCCCTTTTGCAGTTTTCTAAAATAAGCTCACAGAGGCTCTTGAACTTAAGGATTTTATGGCCAAAGTACTAGAGGAAAAATCCCACAGCTCTAGTAACCAGGAGTAGAAAGCCCAAGGGGAGCTACAGCCACCCAAGAACATGGCAGATCCCTTGAAATGGCGTGTCCCTCTACAGTTCTAAGATGTGACAGAGAAAACTACCTGGGCTTGGGCTCTGTCTACCCTGCTGCTTCCGGGCTGTCAGTCTGTGACAAGCCAGGCAACCTTGTTTCCCCCGGGCTTCTTAACTGTACCACCTTCATGTAGTTGGTACATGAAGTTGGTACAGTTGTAAAATTACAAAGTTAACCCATAGACAGAATTTACAACAGTCCCTATCTTGTAGCAATGTAGTTTTTCCTGTCATTTCTTAAGTATTCTTTGATTAAACTCACTATGCCAGCTTCATAACTTATAAAGTAGAAATCCAGTTATCCCTTGGTGTCCATGGAAGATTTGATCTCAAGACCTCTGGAGAAAACTAAAATCTGAGGATGCTCAAGTCCCCTGTATAAAATGGAGTAGCGCTCGACCATAACTCATGCGCATCTTCCCATGGCTATTAAATTACCATTTGTGCCTGCTACAGACGCAGTCTAAAATATATATGGATATATTTCTAACCTGTAGTCAGTTGGAACCATATAAGGGTACGCAAGTAAAAATAAGCACAATTGAACATTGTCATCATCTGTTCAGGCTGCTGTATCACCAGAAACAAGGTGATTTATAAATAACAGAAAATTATTTCTCACAGTTCTGGAGACCAAGAAATTCAAGATCAAGTTGCTAGTAGCCTCGGTGTCTGGCCAGGACCTACTTCCTCCGAACCACCTTCTCCCTCCCCTCACACGACAGAGGGGACTTGGCTTCCCAATGGGGCCTTTTTTATGAGGCTCTAATCTCATCAATGGAGGCTCCACTTTAGGATCTAAATTACTCCCCCAAACTCGCATCTGAATTCCATTGACTTGAGGTGTATAGATTCAGCATGAGTTCGGGAGGACTACAACATTCCGACCATAGAAAGCATCACCTTTATAAAGTGCCGGCATCTTCGCATGATGATTACTAATGTACACCGTCTTTGTTATGAAATAGGCCCCACTGACCTCTAAGGCTTTGTCTCTTCAGGTGTATCTGTGAGTTCTTAAACATGGAGAGCCAGAGACAGCGGGTTTCAGATATTTGCTGAGCCCCTGGCTTGGCCAGATTACTTATCTAGGCTTAGTTTTGTCATCGGTACAACTCGACATAACATATAACTAGAGCTTCTGACAATATATGTCCTCCAAGAGTGGTGAACTCTATGTCTACAAGCACCTGCTCATTTCACAAGTATTTCTTTATTTTGTGTTACTCTGATTTTAGTAACAGCAACAACAAAAGCCAACCTGCCGTTTGGGAGGCCCAGGGTCTTACAGGAGAAACAGGACCACTGTCTCCTGTACCACAGAGAGTACATCAGTGGGTTTGCCAAAGCGCTGATGATGCCCCTGTGGAGCTCATACACGGTCCTCAAGCCGGTAAGTCCCCGAGTCCATGGGCCCTGGAAGGCTGGGCTAAAACATGTGCTTCCTTCGCGTGCTAAGGCTTGAATTTTGTTAGGCTGCACAGATCACAGTGGGAATTGGCTTACTTGAGGCTCCTAAGAAAATGTTCCAGGTGTTACATGAAGGATTTTATATGTGCTTTGTAGGTGCAAAAGAGGAATACACTGTGCTTTGCTTAGAAAAATTAGAAGATTTTCGTAGGCCAGTTTGCTTTGCTTTCCAGTTTGGGAAGCAAGTAGAAAAGACCAGGCCAAACAGAAACAACAGGAAGAACAGGAAATTCAGAGGTACCCTGCTGGGTATTCTTCAAGGATGTGGTGGGTGTCTCAACGCTGATGTCACTAGGCTATAAAAGGCCTTCTGTTTGTTTGTTACCTAAATATTTTATAATCTGCTGTGTGCTGTGTAAGGCACAAGAAACACAATACCAGTAGATACAACTATTCCCTGAAGGACCTGGCACTCTAAGTTGAGCTCTTACAAAAAAAAAAAAAAAAAAAAAAAAATTGGTTGTTACAGATGTCACAGACTAGGATCAGGCCAGATAGCTCAGCGTACTAAAGCACCTGCTTAGGCAAAATGCAGCAGCCGAGGTTCAATCCCCTGTGTGCTATGCCGGCCCCGGCTCCTGCGGGTGCACTGAAAAGTCAATGGAGACTGGGTATGGTGATGCACTCCTGTAATCCCAGCACTTGGGAGGCTAGAAACAGGAAAATCACTAAGAGTCTGATCTACGTAGTGAGACCCTGTAGACCCTGTACTAAATACATTAAAAAACAAAACAAAAAAAAAAATCAAATGTCACAGTCTCTCCAGATAGAGCTTGAAAACCCATTAACTTAATTCCTCTCCTTTTACTATCTGGCAAATTTGATTTCCCTCACTGGTGCCGGGACAATTGGCAATTCATCAAGGGAAAAGTTTCATATCCCTACCTCACACCATACACTAAATTTAATTGGTGATGTG